ACCATTGAGTAACATGTCGTTGACTTTATTGCGGTACTCTTTGAAGAAGTGTTTATTCTGCAGAAACTTTCGTTTTAGACTTGTTAGCCCTTGTTTTGCCACAGCAAAGTTATTGGGCAGATGCACGTCTATCTTAAGAGGCAGTTTAATTTGATAATGGTTGTCTTTAAGTGTTACAGATCTTTTCACAATATCCATGAACTTCTTGTCTTCCCTTGATAGCCCTTTCTCTTCTGTGACTCTTTCGTTAAAGTCTTGATTATACTGGTTATTCAGCGTTTCCTCCAATTTACATACTGAAATCCTGTTAACTACAGCTGACCTACATTCAGCATTAAGACAGGAGTCTTCTCCATGCACAAGACCATTAATGACCCATCCCAGCACGGTCCTTATAGCATATGGGCCATTCCCATGGCTATTAATAACCTCCCAAGGTTCCAACAACCTTGGTGCGTTGCTTCCAATCAACAGGTCTACGTTAGCTTCTATCTTGGGAGGTGTTAACCCTACCAGGTATGGCCATTTTACCAGAGTTTCAGCAGTAACGATGTTATCAGTGTTTACGGGCATTTTCTTTTGTGTTAGGGTTTGAGGAAGTTCATGGAAGACATTACCATTAATACCAGACACTCCCAGTCCTGTGAGTGAATATGCTGGCACCACCCTTTCTTGCCCCATAGTGCATAAGAGGAACTGGGTTCGTTTCCCAGTAAGATGAAGCTTTTGCATAAGCTGTTCTGAGCAGAAGGTGGCGGAGCTGCCAGGATCCAAGAATGCATATGTCAGTATTACCTGAACATATTTGATGGACTTGACTTGGACTGGCACGATGGATAACAGACACTGATCTGCTCCGGCCCCTGTATGTCCACAAGTCTCAGCAGTTGAAGCGAATGAGTGTGATGTAATATCTTTGTCAACTTGAGTAGAAGTACTTACTGTGACCTTAGCAACATGCTCTTTATGCATGCTAGCTTTGTCGCTCTTGTTAATATGAAGTACAGTAGGATGGCTTTGGCTGCATATTTTACAAGTTAGGCGTTTCTCACAGTCACGACTCATGTGTGAAGTACTCAAACAACCAAAGCAGAGTTGTTTCTCCTTCAGAAAATTAATCTTGTCTCTGTGTTTTTTGCATTTCAACTGTTGACAATGTTCTAATAGATGACTCTGAGAACAGTATGCACAGAATAAAGTAGATACAGAGTTATGTCTAGGTGAGATGGTCCTTGATCCTGTGGTACACTCAACTTTCACAGGAGTAATGGTAGTAGCAAAGCTTTTTCCTTTAGTTCTTTGTTCTGTAGATACTCGTGGCCTATTGACAGCTCTTTGAACAGTTGTTGCAGATGGTGAGTCGCTAATATTGCCATACAATGGATCAGACAGAATTTGAACATGTCTTTCTATAACTCTCACCAGGTCATTGACCAAGGCTCTGTTTCCTGTTGTTTCCTGTAGGTCATGTGCAGCAGTCCTCCATTGCTCTCGAAGTTTAAATGGCAGCTTTAAGACAATTGCCCTTATGTTACTTGGCATATCCAGCTCATGCATATACTGAAGTTCCTCCATAACATTGCAGCAGCCTCGCAGAAAGAGAGAGTAAGCCTGTAGAGCATTAACATCTTCATTCTTTATTGGAGCCCAAGATAAAGCCTTTTCAATGTACGCCACAGCAATCTTGTACTTACAGCCAAAGTGTTCCTGTACCAGCTGCTTTGCTTTATCATAACCTAGCTCAGGCGTCATATACAAACAGCTGCGAACAAGCTCTCTTGGTTGCCCCCTAGTGAACTGTTCCAGATAGTACAAACAGTCGCTCTTACTAGCCTTTTCTTCCACTCCTTGTTCAAAAGCTCTCATGAAGGAGACATGTTGGAGAGGATCTCCATCGAACAAAGGGATATTTCTTGCTGGCAAGGATATCAAATGCTGTTGTTGAACAAGTGATGTTGTATTATTCCTCCAGTGCACCCCTGAACTAGATCCTCCTGTATACCTTTGATTTGTATTTGGCACATTAAGTTGGGTTGGTTGCTGATGTAAATTTCGGTTGATTTCAGTTGTTTGTTTATTTAAACCAGACCACTCCTTTGGTCTAGTGGTGGGCTGTTGACTAGCTTGATGTAGCGCTCCGGCTAAAAGTGGGGGGTTGTTGTTGATGATGATGTCCACTCCTGTGTTTGTTGTGGTTTACTTTGAGGTGCATATTTAAAGTCACTTGCCATCGGGTCCAGTTTGTGTGGAGGTGCTAAACTTTGTGTTTCTCTCGTCAAGTAAGAATTCATAGCATCAGATGCATTTTCACTGCAGAAATTATCAGAAGCTTTGAGCACGGACAGTCTGGCAGCAGTTTCAGCCAACATAGTATCCAACTCCTGTTGCTCTAATTTTCTCTTTATCTGCTGCTCTTGCTCTTCCAATGCATGCTTTTCCTTTAAAGCTGCTATACGAGCAAGCAATGCAGCCTTTTCTGCTTGTGCTTTAATTCGCACAGAAGAAGTAGTGCTTGATTTACTACCTGCACTTTTCCCTGAGCGTTTACTAGTTGCATTTGAAACACTATCCTCTGGATTAATACCATCACCAATTTGGCTACCAGTAGGACCAACATTCACATTTTGACCAGAATTTGATAACCACAATAGCACCTTAGAAATGAGCTCATTATTGGCGATCATTTTGGCTTTAAACCACACATCATGTTTTTCTTGTTCAGTATCAGGTAACATACCCATCAAACACTCATGAACACCTTTTGATTCATCACAGACCTTAATAAAATCATCAAATACACATTGAGCTTGTACAACATTTCCCTTTTCAATCAAACTATTCAACACATTTCTTAAACTGGCTGCCTTATTCAGCTTAGTTTTCCTTTCATTTTGCAAACGTCCCAGTTTATCAGCGAGCGCTTTAGCAGTCAGTTTAACAACGCGTTTTTCTTTTGATGTTTGCGCATCATTATCATGTTTGATGGTGTTTATTTCTACGGACGGCTCGGCAGGCCTGTTGATCGTTTCATTCGTCTCCATGACCTATTTCACACAAAACAGTAGCAGAGTTCACGGAGAAAATCGACGTTAATTACCCGCCCCTTGTGTCACCAATGCATTGGATTTTGCCCCACAAATTAAACACAAACTGAATGGCCATTCATTGCATTGTAGCGCTACACATACCGTGCATTGGGCGCCGTTGTCCAGCGAATATGAAGACCATCTGCGTAGAACTCACGTCGTGCAGTGCTGATGAATAGCGTCGTCCGACATCCTCCAAAGCGCAGAGCAAACACGCCACAGCAGACCCAGTATACCGATAACTTTGTGGCTTCCATTCAGACACAACCGGCATGAATCTTCTGGTCCGGCGCAACTCCCGGCGGGTCCGTGATGCGAAGATACAGTTTTGACTTGATTGTAGAGGCTAAGCCTATTGCTTGAAGTCCCTGAGATGTTGTTAGACAGGCACCCAGCTGACGCACACTGTCCTCTGGCTGATGTAGTGTAAATGAAATGAACAGTCTTACTTGTTTCCGAAGATGTTTACGTTTATTGCAGTTGCAAACTCCAATAGTTCACAAATTTCCTTTCAGGTAAGTTTCCGTTCGTAGAAGTCAAACACTGCCACATATCTTGACTTACAAACAAAACAAACCGTCATGCTAAAGCATGAATGAATGTGTGCCGCTCTCTGTGTGAATGCGCGTGAGCGTTTGTTTGTGTTTGTGGGTGTGTGTGCGTTTGAAAGTGTGTGTTTGAAAGTGTGTGTGTTTGAAACTGTATGTGCTCCCTTCCGTCTAGCAACACCTGCTACCTGAATGTTCGTTCCCACTTATAAAGCCTGTTTAAAGAGCACCACCTAGTGGAACAATGAGCAAAGTTGCCAAATGGCTCCTACATATATTTTGAAGAGGGGGGAAAACAATAAATCGTTGTATGAGTGCTGTAATGTTTAAATAATTTCCATTTAAAACGCGTGAAGGTCACATGACCATCAGGAAGAACGCAGCATCCCATTTCTCAAAGGATGCATTCTCTGCCCTTGCGGTCTGAGTCCATTCTTCCGAGGACACCTGGCAAGACCGGTCTCCACAAGAACACAAGTCCGTTCTCCGCGTTCTTGGAATTGAGAAACAGCCTGAGTCACTTGTACATCCAGGAAGTGTTCAGAATAGCAAAACAGAAGCGAAGAAACTCGACACAGAGGAACATTTACACCTCACTGCCCACTAGCGTTTCGGAAGTGTTAATGCTGACCAACGGAGACAGCGCGCAGAAGTATGCACAGCTGCGCGCGTTGCCTGCGCCGTGAGTTGCGCCGGTCACTTGATGCAGAAGTATAAACCAGGCTTTAGGCGCGATAGTGGAAACGCGGCTACTGACTTTTTACAGAGGAACGTATTTTTCCAGGAAGCAACGACAGATTGTCATTAGAATTCAAACCTTTTTGAGCAAAAACAATAAATTCACACATTTCCTCATTCAGTTAAAGAAAGTTATTCAGTAACCAACACTTCACATCAGCCATACAATTAAACAAAGACTTAAGGGATGATTGATCCCCAGATTTTATAGGGAAGATGCATGTAGATGGTATACATATTCTGGGACCTTCAAACTGATGTTGTTGTACAATTGAATATACAAAAAACACAAATAATTTTTAGTTTTTATTTTTAAAATTATGTATAAATCTACTCTACATATTTGTTTATTCATAATTTTTCTCTATTAGAAGCTGATGGTTCATGGGTTCATCATAAATTTGCTATGTACACCAACAGAAAACTGCTTAGTTTGATCCTTATGATGTTGTGAATTGTGCTCTATACATCTTTGTATTATTGGCGACTGACAATTTGACAACAAAAGAAAAATCCTTGCAGTTATCGGTGAATAAGACCCAGTTTGCTGCCTTTTTTGTGAAATACAATAACTTGTCTTGTTAGAACAGTCCATTACACTAACTGCTGTTTTCTTTCTTTTTGTAAGGAGGAATATGGAGAAAAGAAAATGTTGGGGTAAAGGGACACAGGCAAAAACCTCATATAATAGCACATATTGGTCAACACCAGTAGCTGTGAGTAAAGAGTTTACAAATGCAAACAATCAAAATGACCATCCAGCATCTATGCAGCTTACCCAAATCCTGTCTAAATGGAGACAAGAATGCATGCCTGGTATAGACAACTCAAATGGGCCACTTGAGAAACCATCAGAGCATCATCCTCAAGAAGTGTCTGCTCACACTACACTTCCAAACCCTGAAAAAAAAGGAGGTGATGTGTATGAAGTGACTCCAGAAACTGTAGGTGGTGCTTGTGTTGAGCCTTCCTGTTCCCCTGCATTGGTCCAAAGTAGAGTGGATGCTCACAGATACAACCTGACCATAACAGCAAGACAAGATTGTACAGATCAGAAGAAAACAAATGTGCATGAAGCTGTTCTCCAAAATCCACAAGAAAAAGCAATAAATGCAGTTTTTCAGCCCATGGCAAGGTGTGGATAGTTTATGGATGTATTTATTGATTAATTGAAAGCTAAGAAAATTAAAAAGTTTTAATCACAAGAATGTTTTTTTGTCATGACGTTTTATGATCTCTTCCTCTCTAGAAAAGACATGAGTGAAGTACAGCCATACTCTGATTCTCTTCCATCTGTTTCTTCACTGCCTGAGACGACGCTTGAAAGCCAAACTTCAAAAAATGATGGCCAGGTATTGGAGACTGCTGAAAATGTTCAGTGTCATGCTGTTTATATGAAGAGAAAGAAATCAAATGAAAGTGAAAAAGAACAGAGTGAGACGTCTCCAGAGAATTACAACATCCAGACAACCAAGAAAAGAAAACAGGTATGAGGGAATTTGTTGCAAGTGTAGAGAATCCACTGAAATAGGTTGTTTTGTTGATTAAAAAATATAGTATGATTTCAGGACATTTCTCATAATGTGAATAATCCGAATCCAGAGAGAAATAGCCAAATATTCAAAAAAGGTGAGTGATGAGTTTTACTATTCTTATTTATTAGTAATCCCTATTCAAAATTGATTCTTAATATTAAATTTTTTTATTATGATATCATTTAAGATTGACAAATGAATTAATTTAACCTAAGTCAGCAGTAATTAAAAATTCAAATACAATGGTAATTGACATCAATACGCCACAATGTTGTGTGTGTTTGTGTGTTCTTAGGCAATGTGAATAAGTTGTTGGTGCTGTCTTTGAAAGAAGACGAGTTGACTCGCTCTTTGGAGAATGTAGGCGACCAGCTGATCCAGGCACAATCCATTTTACAGAGCACATACACAGAAGTTCAGCGTCTGCTAGCTGTTAAACAACAGGTACGTTTATCATCATTGTCACAAGCTCTTCTCCTTGAGTATTTTAGAAGCTACAATTTCCCTTCTAATTTACACAATATGAACACTTGTAATAATCCACCTACACTATTATCAATTCTTTTGTTATCAGGTAACCTCAGAGATGGCCTCACTCAGGGAAAAGCGCATAAAGATACTACAGCAAATGAAGAGTAAGAACACTTAATACATTCAGTTCAGATAGTATTTCCACCCCCAATATGTCTTTCTATAGTATTTTACAGTAGAATTCAGGTATACGCCCTCATGAATTATTAGCCCACCTTTATATTTATTGCCCAATTTCTATTTAACGGAGAGAAGATTTTTTCAACACATTTTTTAATCATAATAGTTTTAATAACTCATTTCTTAAAACTGATTTATTTCATTTTTGCCATGATGACAGTCTAATATTTTACTTGATATTTTTCAAGATACTAGTATTCAGCCTAAACTGCAATTTAAAGGTTTACCTTGGTTAAGTTAACTAGGCAAGTTAGGGTAATTAGGCCAATCATTGTATAAAGATGGTTTGTTCTGTAGTCAGTCGGAAAAAAAAAATATTGCTTAGGTGGGCTAATAATTTTGACTTTAAAATGAATTAAAATGTTGTTTTTAATTGCTGAAATAAAACTAAAAAATAAACTCCAGAAGTAAAAAAAAATACAGCAAATACTGTGCAAAAAAACCCTTGTGCTGTTAAAAATAATTTGGGAAATATTTGAAAAGAAAAAACACTTCACAGAATGGCTTATAATTTTGACTTCAACTGTATATAATCATACCATAATTATGCATATGTTTTATATATGCTTGTAATGTGTTGTCAGATACCAGTTAGGGTTCCAGTCCTCCAGACCAGCAGATGGCACTACAGGACCTACATCTCACAACACTGACTGGTCTCCATGATCTCCCCTCAGAGCAAAGAATGCATAAGTTTGATAGCTGTTCACATATAATTTTGCACTAATTTACTCCAATCGATGCTGATTATTCCTAGAAATGACATTTTTGAATAGCTATAGCACTTTAGAATCTAGGAATGACCTTTTTTGTATATAGTTTTGAGAAATAATATATATTTTGTTAAGATTATCTGCCGAATTATGTCAAGCTATGAGAGCATGTTTGTGCTCCTAAGCAGAGCTGTTACATGTCTTAAGATTAAGGTCAGTTTCAAAATAGCATCATAATAGCAAATCTTTAATAATAGCATAAGCTGAATATGTTTGTTTATTGTTCAATATAGTAATTTTCTTAGGAATCTGAAAACAGCTAGAAATATTCTGGTTGTTTTTATGTGTGATTTTGCTACTCTAGCACAAGACGCTTTGTTTACACTTAAGGTAAATCATGTGTTTATCCATTGTTTGCAATCATGAGCACATTTTTTTGCACTATTTTGAGCTGTATGTTTATGCTCAGCAATACATACTAAGAGCAACTAGTGGAATAGAATGGTGAAACACTTTATTCAGTTTATTAATTTACAGTTGCCCAGAAGCACACACAGTTTACAAGAATGATGTGTTTAGATGTGTCAACATTTTACTTTAAAGGGGCAATCTGAATGAGGCATCATGGTCCATTCAGTTACTCAAAATCAAATTGGTTTGTACTTGACCAGCATTTGTGGAAGAATTATTTTGATTCAGGCGTAGCTCTTTGTCTGCACTGCTCCACTTAATGGATGCACACAATATGTAATTTCTACCAACTTCAGTGTTGCCAGGCTGACTTCTGTTTTTATGTCTTTAGGCGTACATTGTCAGTTGAAGCCACTGCGCAAATAAAACAGAAAGCAAGAACTTGTTAGAGTGATAAATAGCAAAGATTATAAAGAATAATAAAAATCTAAATAATTAGTATGCTTCTACTCATTCTGAAGATGCGGCTTACCTCAAAAACATTGAGCTTGATAAGTCCATCACCATCCTTGTCAAAGGCTCTGAACGCCCCTGTTGGAGAATCTCTTTTACTACAGGTGTCCGATAGCAATAATGCATCTCAAAAGGCTGGTTGTTTAATGCAGACTAAATTCAGATTATACTACATTTTTGGAAGTTAAGATAGCCAATGTTGCAGATTTTGACTCCTGTACACTTGTGCCAAAGACAAATAACATGACAGGCTACACACTAGTTTCTGACAAATCATCTTGTCACAGTGAAAGCAGCCTTGAAATGTGCCAAGATAAAAGCAACATGTAGATTATTTTTATTAGCTCATTTATTTATTTTTGAAATTAATATTTGTACATTTTATTAGTTTTTATTTTAGATTATATGCAATTTTCACATTAAAATAAAGTGAAATATTTATTTTTTTGGTCAGAATAGGCTCACCTTGAGGTGTTAAAAAGAAAATGTTTTTGTAATTTTGCTTAACAAAACCTCACTGTATAAACATTAAAAAAAGCATTTGGATTCTCATGTCTTTTTTTTAAAGACAATTTCTTGAAGCGATATTCAAAATCATTTACTCACACTTTACTTATTCCAACTTTATTCTGTTGAACACAATGGAGGATAGTTTAAAGAAGACTGAAAATGTAATCATGGGCTTCCATAGTATTTGTTTTTCCTATGGATGTCAATGGTTACAGGTTTTCAGCTTTCTTCAAATTATATTCTTTTGTGTTGAACAGAACAAGGTTGATAACCACTTGAGAGTGTGTAAATGTGAGCAATTTTTCATTTTTGGTTGAATTACCCCTTTAATTCACTGTCATGCAATATATAGACCAAAAAGTCATATATCTAAAGACTCCTTAAGTCAAATGTGCTAAAATTGGGATGATACTATGTTGACCAAATCCAGGAAGAGTGAAATAAAAAAAATAAATAAATAAAACTTACTAAACATTCCCTCCAGTCGCACTAAGCAGCTAATGTAGCTGTCGAAATCCAACTCCATGTGTTCATTGGCATATCTCATACAAATGATGTCATACAGCTGATTGTTGAGTTGAAAACCTGATGCGCAGAGACAAATCTCAGTGTTACAAAAGGCTACAAAAAATGATTTGTTAAATAAAGACTGATTGTCCAACCTGCTTCAGTAAGTGCGTTCCTCATCTCGAAACTGCTGATTGTGCTGGATTTGTCAGTGTCGAAACGTGTGAACACCAGCTGTAAATCAGAAATGGAGCATGTCTATAACATGTTCTACTAACTACTAACAGTGTAGTGTAACCTGCTGATCTAACGAGAAAATAACATAGATTCATACCTTCCACTGTTTAATCTTGTTCCATAAGTGTTTGAACTCCTGCAGGTTTAGATGACCTGTTCCATCAGTCTAAAGTGTTGTAGTTGAGATACATTTCAGTGCGTTTGTGTAGCTGGTTGGAAAACTGACCAACTTTGAAAAAGGTAATTGACAATTCATCCAGGCCACAAGAGACCACTTTTTCAGTCTCTTTTTATTAAGACCAAAATACCCACACCCATCCATCCATCCATTCTGACAAAAAAAGTTTTCATATTGATTAGAATAGAAAAAGAAAAGGAAATAATGCAGTTGTCTTTTGCGGAGTGCACCACACCAATCAGTGTGTCAGAAAGGTCTAAGTCGCCAGACTCAAGGTGAATCAACCTTCTCAAAGAATGGGGATTCTGGTCTCCAGATGGAGGCATGGGTTCACATCCCACTTCTGACAATAGAGTTTTCCTATTGATTAGAAGAGGGAAAAGAAATGGAAATAATACTGTTGTCCTTTGCAGGTTGCCTCAACAGATTATTTGTGAATTGCACCACACTGTAGCAAAAAAATGTGTGTCCGAGTGGTCTAAGGTGCTAGGCTCACAGTCATTCAACCTTCCCAGCTAATGAGAAATCTGGGCTTCAGATGGAAGCGTAGGTTCAAATCCCACTTCTGACCATAGATATTTCAGATTTATTAGATAAGATAAAGCAAGGAAGATGATCTACAGGTTTATATTGATGGTTTTGCACTTTGAACTTTACCTTAATGGAAGAAATAGTAATGGAGTGCACTATACCATAGAAAAAATGGTGTTAGAATGGCCGAGGGGTCTAAGGCGCCAGACTCAAGATGAGTTAATCTCCTCAAGGAATGAGGTTTCTGGTCCCCTGATGGAGGCGTGGGTTAAAATCCCACTTCTGACAATAGATTCATTAGATTTCAAAAAGAAGTGGTGATGATTTAAGGTTTTTTATTGCTGGTGTTAGGCTCTGAACTTAGCCTCAACGGAGGCATTAGTAATGGAGTGCACTATACTGCAAAACAGACATGTGTCAGAATGGCCGAGTGGTCTAAGGCGCCAGACTCAAGATGAATCCATCTTCTCAAGAAATGAGGATTCTGGTCTCCAGATGGAGGCGGTGGTTCAAATCACACTTCTGACAATGGAGTTTTCCTATTGATTAGAAGGAAAGAAATGGAAATAGTTCAAAGGTTTCTGATGTTGCAGCTGTCAGTTGCAGTTTGCCTCAGTAGAGTCTTTATTTGTAGATTGCACCACACCTTTGCAAAATGTGTGTCAGAATGGCCGAGTGGTCTAAGGTGCCAGACTAAAGGTGAATCAACTTTCTCAGTTAATGAGAATTCTGATCTCCCGATGGCGGTGTGGGTTCAAATCCAACTTCTGACAATAGAAATATTAGATTTATTATATTATAAAAAGAAATGTAGATGATTTACAGGTTTTATTGCTGTTGTTACTCTCTGAACTTTGTCTCAATGGAGGCATTAGCAATGGAGTGCACAATACCACAAATAAGGATGTGTCAGAATGGCAGAGTGGTCTAAGGCGCTAGAATCAAGGTTAATTATTCTTCTCAAGGTATGATGATTCTAGTCTGTAGATGGAGGTGTGGGTTCAAATTCCACTTCTGACAATAGAGTTTTCCTATTAATTAGAAGAGAAAAAGAAATGGAAATAATACTGCTGTCCTTTGCAGGTTGCCTCAACAGATTCTTTATTTGTGGATTGCACCACACTGTAGCAAAAAAATGTGTGTCCGAGTGATCTAAGGTGCTAGGCTCACAGTCAATCAACCTTCTCAGCTAATGAGAAAATCTGGGCTTCAGATGGAAGCGTAGGTTTAAATCCCACTTCTGACCATAGATATTTCAGATTTATTAGATTAGAAAAAGCAATGAAGATGATCTACAGGTTTTTATTGCTGGTTTTGCGCTCTGAACTCTGCCTCAATGGAGGCATTAGTAATGTACTGCAATGTACTATTGAAATACATGTGTCATAATGGCCGTGTGGTCTAAGGCGCCAGACTCAAGATGAATAAATCTTTTCAAGGAATGAGGATTATGGTCTCCAGATGGAGGCGTAGGTTCAAATCCCACTTCTGACAACAGCGTTTTCCTATTGATTAGAAGAGGGAAAAGAAATGGAAATAATACTGTTGTCCTTTGCAGGTTGCCTCAACAGATTCTTTATTTGTGGATTGCACCACACTGTAGCAAAAAATGTGTGTCCGAGTGATCTAAGGTGCTAGGCTCACAGTCATTCAACCTTCTCATCTAATGAGAAATCTGGGCTTCAGATGGAAGCGTAGGTTCAAATCCCACTTCTGACCATAGATATTTCAGATTTATTAGATTAGATAAAGCAATGAAGATGATCTACAGGTTTTTATTGCTGGTTTTGCGCTCTCAACTTTGCCTCAATGGGGGCATTAGTAATGTAATGCACTGTACAATTGAAATGCATGTGTCAGAATGGCCGAGTGGTCTAAGGCGCCAGACTCAAGATGAATCAATCTTCTCAAAGAATGAGGGTTCTGGTCTCCAGATGGGGGTGTGGGTTCAAATCCAACTTTTGACAATGTAGTTTTCCTATTGATTAGAAGGGAAAAAGAAATGGAAATAATTCAAAGTTTTCTGATGTTGCAGTTGTCTGTTGCTGTATACCTGAGTAGAGTCTTTATTTGTAGATTGCTCCACACCTTTGGAAAATATCTGTCAGAATGGCCGAGTGGTCTAAGGCGCCAGACTCAAGGTGAATCAAATTTCTCAGTTTATGAGGATTCTGGTCTCCCGATGGAGGCGTGGGTTTAAATCCCACTTCTGACAATAGAAATATTAGATTTTTACATTACGAAAAGAAACGTAGATGATTTACAGGTTATTATTGCTGGTGTTACTCTCTGAACTTTGCCTCAATGGAGGCATTAGTAATGGAGTGCACTATACCACACAAAAGTCAGCTCTCAGAATGGCTGAGTGGTCTAAGGTGCAACACTCAAGTTTAATCAATCTTCTCAACGTATGAGGGTTCTAGTCTCCAGATGGAGGCGTGGTTTCGAATCCCATTTCTGACAGCATCGTTATCCTATTGATTAGAAGAGGGAAAAGAAATGGAAATAATACTGTTATCCTTTGCAGGTTGCCTCAACAGAATCTTTATTTGTGGATTGCACCACACTGTAGCAAAAAATGTGTGTCTGACTGGTCTAAGGTGCTAGGCTCACAGTCATTCAACCTTCCCAGCTAATGAGAAATCTGAGCTTCAGATGGAAGCGTAGGTTCAAATCCCACTTCTGACCATAGATATTTCAGATTTATTAGATAAGATAAAGCAATGAAGATGAACTACAGGTTTTTATTGCTGGTTTTGCGCTCTGAACTTTGCCTCAATGGGAGCATTAGTAATTTAGTGCACTGTACCATTGAAATGTATGTGTCAGAATGGCCGAGTGGTCTAAGGCGCCAGACTCAAGATGAATCAATCTTCTCAAGGAATGAGGATTCTGGTCTCCAGATGGAGGCGTGGGTTCAAATCCCACTTCTGAAAACAGCATTTTCCTATTGATTAGAAGAGGGAAAACAAATGGAAATAATACTGTTATCCTTTGCAGGTTGCCTCAACAGAATCTTTATTTGTGGATTGCACCACACTGTAGCAAAAAATGTGTGTCCGAGTGGTCTAAGGTGCTAGGCTCACAGTCAATCAACCTTCTCGGCTAATGAGAATTCTGGGCTTCAGATGGAAGCGTAGGTTCAAATCCCACTTCTGACCATAGATATTTCAGATTTATTAGATTAGATAAAGCAACGAAGATGATCTACAGGTTTTTATTGCTGGTTTTGCGCTCTCAACTTTGCCTCAATGGAGGCACTAGTAATGTAGTGCACTGTACCGTTGAAATGGACGTGTCACAATGGCCGAGTGGTCTAAGGTGCCAGACTCAAGATGAATCAATCTTCTCAAGGTATGAGGATTCTGGTCGCCAGATGGAGGCGTTGGTTCAAATCCCACTTCTGACAATGGAGTTTTCCTATTGATTAGAAGGGGAAAAGAAATGGAAATAATTCAAAGGTTTCTGATGTTGCAGTTGTCTGTTGCTGTTTGCCTGAGTAGAGTCTTTATTTGTAGATTGCTCCACACCTTTGCAAAATATCTGTCAGAATGGCCGAGTGGTCTAAGGCGCCAGACTCAAGGTGAATCAACTTTCTCAGTTAATGAGAATTCTGGTCTCCTGATGGAGGCGTGGGTTCAAATCCCACTTCTGACAATAGAAATATTAGATTTATTACACTAAGAAACGAAACGTAGATGATTTACAGGTTATTATTGCTGGTTTTACTCTCTGAACTTTGCCTCAATGGAGGCATTAGCAATGGAGTGCACTATACCACACAAAAGTCAGGTGTCAAAATGAAAATGGCCGAGTGGTCTAAGGTGCCAGACTTATGTTTAATCAATCTTCTCAACGTATAAGGTTTCTCCTCTCCAGATGGAGGCGTGGGTTCAATTCCCACTTCTGACAACAATGTTTTCCTATTGATTAGAAGAGGGAAAAGAAATGGAAATAATACTGTTGTACTTTGCAGGTTGCCTCAACAGATTCTTTATTTGTGGATTGCACCACACTGTAGCAAAAAATGTGTGTCTGACTGGTCTAAGGTGCTAGGCTCACAGTCATTCAACCTTCCCAGCTAATGAGAAATCTGAGCTTCAGATGGAAGCGTAGGTTCAAATCCCACTTCTGACCATAGATATTTCAGATTTATTAGATTAGATAAAGCAATGAAGATGAACTACAGGTTTTTATTGCTGGTTTTGCGCTCTGAACTTTGCCTCAATGGGGGCATTAGTAATTTAGTGCACTGTACCATTGAAATGTATGTGTCAGAATGGCCGAGTGGTCTAAGGCGCCAGACTCAAGATGAATCAATCTTCTCAAGGAATGAGGATTCTGGTCTCCAGATGGAGGCGTGGGTTCAAATCCCACTTCTGACAACAGCGTTTTCCTATTGATTAGAAGAGGGAAAAGAAATGGAAATAATACTGTTATCCTTTGCAGGTTGCCTCAACAGAATCTTTATTTGTGGATTGCACCACACTGTAGCAAAAAATGTGTGTCCGAGTGGTCTAAGGTGCTAGGCTCACAGTCAATCAACCTTCTCGGCTAATGAGAAATCTGAGCTTCAGATGGAAGCGTAGGTTCAAATCCCACTTCTGACCATAGATATTTCAGATTTATTAGATTAGATAAAGCAATGAAGATGAACTACAGGTTTTTATTGCTGGTTTTGCGCTCTGAACTTTGCCTCAATGGGGGCATTAGTAATTTAGTGCACTGTACCATTGAAATGTATGTGTCAGAATGGCCGAGTGGTCTAAGGCGCCAGACTCAAGATGAATCAATCTTCTCAAGGAATGAGGATTCTGGTCTCCAGATGGAGGCGTGGGTTCAAATCCCACTTCTGACAACAGCGTTTTCCTATTGATTAGAAGAGGGAAAAGAAATGGAAATAATACTGTTATCCTTTGCAGGTTGCCTCAACAGAATCTTTATTTGTGGATTGCACCACACTGTAGCAAAAAATGTGTGTCCGAGTGGTCTAAGGTGCTAGGCTCACAGTCAATCAACCTTCTCGGCTAATGAGAATTCTGGGCTTCAGATGGAAGCGTAGGTTCAAATCCCACTTCTGACCATAGATATTTCAGATTTATTAGATTAGATAAAGCAATGAAGATGATCTACAGGTTTTTATTGCTGGTTTTGCGCTCTCAACTTTGCCTCAATGGAGGCACTAGTAATGTAGTGCACTGTACCATTTAAATGGACTTGTCACAATGGCCGAGTGGTCTAAGGTGCCAGACTCAAGATGAATCAATCTTCTCAAGGCATGAGGATTCTGGTCGCCAGGTGGAGGCGTGGGTTCAAATCCCACTTCTGACAATGGAGTTTTCCTATTGATTAGAAGGGGAAAAGAAATGGAAATAATTCAAAGGTTTCTGATGTTGCAGTTGTCTGTTGCTGTTTGCCTGAGTAGAGTCTTTATTTGTAGATTGCTCCACACTTTGGAAAATATCTGTCAGAATGGCTGAGTGGTCTAAGGCGCCAGACTCAAGGTGAATCAACTTTCTCAGTTAATGAGAATTCTGGTCTCCTGATGGAGGCGTGGGTTCAAATCGCACTTCTGACAATAGAAATATTAGATTTATTACACTAAGAAACGAAACGTAGATGATTTACAGGTTATTATTGCTGGTTTTACTCTCTGAACTTTGCCTCAATGGAGGCATTAGCAATGGAGTGCACTATACCACACAAAAGTCAGGTGTCAAAATGAAAATGGCCGAGTGGTCTAAGGTGCCAGACTTATGTTTAATCAATCTTCTCAACGTATAAGGTTTCTCCTCTCCAGATGGAGGCGTGGGTTCAATTCCCACTTCTGACAACAATGTTTTCCTATTGATTAGAAGAGGGAAAAGAAATGGAAATAATACTGTTGTACTTTGCAGGTTGCCTCAACAGATTCTTTATTTGTGGATTGCACCACACTGTAGCAAAAAATGTGTGTCTGACTGGTCTAAGGTGCTAGGCTCACAGTCATTCAACCTTCCCAGCTAATGAGAAATCTGAGCTTCAGATGGAAGCGTAGGTTCAAATCCCACTTCTGACCATAGATATTTCAGATTTATTAGATTAGATAAAGCAATGAAGATGAACTACAGGTTTTTATTGCTGGTTTTGCGCTCTGAACTTTGCCTCAATGGGGGCATTAGTAATGTAGTGCACTGTACCATTGAAATGTATGTGTCAGAATGGCCGAGTGGTCTAAGGCGCCAGACTCAAGATGAATCAATCTTCTCAAGGAATGAGGATTCTGGTCTCCAGATGGAGGCGTGGGTTCAAATCCCACTTCTGACAACAGCGTTTTCCTATTGATTAGAAGAGGGAAAAGAAATGGAAATAATACTGTTATCCTTTGCAGGTTGCCTCAACAGAATCTTTATTTGTGGATTGCACCACACTGTAGCAAAAAATGTGTGTCCGAGTGGTCTAAGGTGCTAGGCTCACAGTCAATCAACCTTCTCGGCTAATGAGAATTCTGGGCTTCAGATAGAAGCGTAGGTTCAAATCCCACTTCTGACCATAGATATTTCAGATTTATTAGATTAGATAAAGCAATGAAGATGATCTACAGGTTTTTATTGCTGGTTTTGCGCTCTCAACTTTGCCTCAATGGAGGCACTAGTAATGTAGTGCACTGTACCATTGAAATGGACGTGTCACAATGGCCGAGTGGTCTAAGGTGCCAGACTCAAGATGAATCAATCTTCTCAAGGCATGAGGATTCTGGTAGCCAGGTGGAGGCGTGGGTTCAAATCCCACTTCTGACAATGGAGTTTTCCTATTGATTAGAAGGGGAAAAGAAATGGAAATAATTCAAAGGTTTCTGATGTTGCAGTTGTCTGTTGCTGTTTGCCTGAGTAGAGTCTTTATTTGTAGATTGCTCCACACTTTGGAAAATATCTGTCAGAATGGCCGAGTGGTCTAAGGCGCCAGACTCAAGGTGAATCAACTTTCTCAGTTAATGAGAATTCTGGTCTCCTGATGGAGGCGTGGGTTCAAATCGCACTTCTGACAATAGAAATATTAGATTTATTACACTACGAAAAGAAACGTAGATGATTTACAGGTTACTCTCTAAACTTTGCCTCAATGGAGGCATTAGTAATGGAGTGCACTATACCACACAAAAGTCAGGTGTCAAAATGGCCGAGTGGTCTAAGGTGCCAGACTTATGTTTAATCAATCTTCTCAACGTATAAGGGTTCTCCTCTCCAGATGGAGGCGTGGGTTCAAATCCCACTTCTGACAACAATGTTTTCCTATTGATTAGAAGAGGGAAAAGAAATGGAAATAATACTGTTGTACTTTGCAGGTTGCCTCAACAGATTCTTTATTTGTGGATTGCACCACACTGTAGCAAAAAATGTGTGTCTGACTGGTCTAAGGTGCTAGGCTCACAGTCATTCAACCTTCCCAGCTAATGAGAAATCTGAGCTTCAGATAGAAGCGTAGGTTCAAATCCCACTTCTGACCATAGATATTTCAGATTTATTAGATTAGATGAAGCAATGAAGATGAACTACAGGTTTTTATTGCTGGTTTTGCGCTCTGAACGTTGCCTCAATGGGGGCATTAGTAATTTAGTGCACTGTACCATTGAAATGTATGTGTCAGAATGGCCGAGTGGTCTAAGACGCCAGACTCAAGATGAATCAATCTTCTCAAGGAATGAGGATTCTGGTCTCCAGATGGAGGCATGGGTTCAAATCCCACTTCTGACAACAGCGTTTTCCTATTGATTAGAAGAGGGAAAAGAAATGGAAATAATACTGTTGTACTTTGCAGGTTGCCTCAACAGAATCTTTATTTGTGGATTGCACCACACTGTAGCAAAAAATGTGTGTCCGAGTGGTCTAAGGTGCTAGGCTCACAGTCAATCAACCTTCTCAGCTAATGAGAATTCTGGGCTTCAGATGGAAGCGTAGGTTCAAATCCCACTTCTGACCATAGATATTTCAGATTTATTAGATTAGATAAAGCAATGAAGATGATCTACAGGTTTTTATTGCTGGTTTTGCGCTCTCAACTTTGCCTCAGTGAAGGGAGTAATGTAGTGCACTGTACCATTGAAATGAATGTGTCAGAATGGCCGAGCGGTCTGAGGCGCCAGACTCAAGATGAATCAATCTTCTCAAGGAATGAGCATTCTGGTCTCCAGATGGAGGCGTGGGTTCACATCCCACGTCTGATAGTTGAGTTTTCCTATTGATTAGAAGGGGAAAAGAAATGGAAATAATTCAAAGGTTTCTGATGTTGCAGTTATCTCTCGCTGTTTGCCTCAGTAGAGTCTTTATTTGTAGATTGCACCACACCATTGCAAAATCTGTCAGAATGGCCGAGTGGTCTAAGGCGCCAGACTCAAGATGAATCAATCTTCTCAAGGTATGAGGATTCTGGTCTCCAAATGGAGGCGTGGGTTCAAATCCCACTTCTGACAATGGAGTATTCCTATTGATTAGAAGGGGAAAAGAAATGGAGATAATTCAAAGGTTTCTGATGTTGCAGTTCTCTCTTGCTGTTTGCCTGAGTAGAGTCTTTATTTGTAGATTGCTCCACACCTGTGGAAAATATCTGTCAGAATGGCCGAGTGGTCTAAGGCGCCAGACTCAAGGTGAATCAACTTTCTCAGTTAATGAGAATTCTGGTCTCCTGATGGAGGCGTGGGTTCAAATCCCACTTCTGACAATAGAAATATTAGATTTTTTTCACTACGAAAAGAAACGTAGATGATTTACAGGTTATTATTGCTGGTTTTACTCTCTGAACTTTGCCTCAATGGAGGCATTAGCAATGGAGTGCACTATACCACACAAAAGTCAGGTGTCAGAATGGCCGAGTGGTCTAAGGTGCCAAACTCAAGTTTAATCAATTTTCTCAAGATATGAGGGTTCTGGTCTCCAGATGGAGGCGTGGGTTCGAATCCCTTTTCTGACAGCATTGTTATCCTATTGATAAGAAGAGGGAAAAGAAATGGAAATAATACTGTTATCCTTTGCAGGTTGCCTCAACAGATTCTTTATTAGTGGATTGCACCACACTGTAGCAAAAAAATGTGTGTCCGAGTGGTCTAAGGTGCTAGGCTCACAGTCAATCAACCTTCTCGGCTAATGAGAATTCTGGGCTTCAGATGGAAGCGTAGGTTCAAATCCCACTTCTGACCATAGATATTTCAGATTTATTAGATTAGATAAAGCAATGAAGATGATCTACAGGTTTTTATTGCTGGTTTTGCGCTCTCAACTTTGCCTCAGTGAAGGGAGTAATGTAGTGCACTGTACCATTGAAATGAATGTGTCAGAATGGCCGAGCGGTCTAAGGCGCCAGACTCAAGATGAATCAATCTTCTCAAGGAATGAGCATTCTGGTCTCCAGATGGAGGCGTGGGTTCAAATCCCGCTTCTGACAATGGTGTATTCCTGTTGATTAGAAGGGGAAAAGAAATGGAAATAATTCAAAGGTTTCTGATGTTGCAGTTATCTCTCGCTGTTTGCCTCAGTAGAGTCTTTATTTTTAGATTGCACCACACCATTGCAAAATCTGTCAGAATGGCCGAGTGGTCTAAGGCGCCAGACTCAAGATGAATCAATCTTCTCAAGGTATGAGTATTCTGGTCTCCAAATGGAGGCGTGGGTTCAAATCCCACTTCTGACAATGGAGTATTCCTATTGATCAGAAGGGGAAAAGAAATGGAGATAATACTGTTATCCTTTGCAGGTTGCCTCAACAGATTCTTTATTAGTGGATTGCACCACACTGTAGCAAAAAATGTGTGTCCGAGTGGTCTAAGGTGCTAGGCTCACAGTCAATCAACCTTCTCAGCTAATGAGAAATCTGGGCTTCAGATGGAAGCGTAGGTTCAAATCCCACTTCTGACCATAGATATTTCAGATTTATTAGATTAGATAAAGCAATGAAGATGATCTACAGGTTTTTATTGCTGGTTTTGCGCTCTGAACTTTGCCTCAATGGAGGCATTAGTAATGTAGTGCACTGTTATGTTGAAATCTATATGTCAGAATGGCCGAGTGGTCTAAGGCGCCAGACTCAAGATGAATCAATCTTCGCAAAGAATGAGTATTCTGGTCTCTAGATGGTGGTGTGGGTTCAAATCCCACTTCTGACAGTGTTGTTTTCCTATTGATTAGAAGGAAAAAAGAAATGGAAATAATTCAAAGGTTTCTGATGTTGCAGTTGTCTGTTGCTGTTTGCCTGAGTAGAGTCTTTATTTGTAGATTGCTCCACACCTTTGCAAAATATCTGTCAGAATGGCCGAGTGGTCTAAGGCGCCAGACTCAAGGTAAATCAACTTTCTCAGTATATGAGGAGTCTGGTCTCCCGATGGAGGCGTGGGTTCAAATCCCACTTCTGACAACAGAAATATTAGATTTATTACATTACGAAAAGAAACGCAGATGATTTACAGGTTATTATTGCTGGTGTAACTCCCTCAACTTTGCCTCAATGGAGGCATTAGCAATGGTGTGCACTATACCACACAAAAGTCAGCTGTCAGAATGGCTGAGTGGTCTAAGGTGCCAGTCTCAATTTTAATCAATCTTCTCAACGTATGAGGGTCCTCCTCTCCAGATGGAGGCGTGGGTTCAAATCCCACTTCTGACAACATTGTTTTCCTATTGATTAGAAGAGGGAAAAGAAATGGAAATAATACTGTTGTCCTTTGCAGGTTGCCTCAACAGATTCTTTATTTGTGGATTGCACCACACTGTAGCAAAAAATGTGTGTCCGAGTGATCTAAGGTGCTAGGCTCACAGTCTTTCAACCTTCCCAGCTAATGAGAAATCTGAGCTTCAGATGGAAGCGTAGGTTCAAATCCCACTTCTGACCATAGATATTTCAGATTTCTTAGATTAGATAAAGCAATAAAGATGATCTACAGGTTTTTATTGCTGGTTTTGCGCTCTGAACTTTGCCTCAATGGGGGCATTAGTAATTTAGTGCACTGTACCATTGAAACGTATGTGTCACAATGGCCGAGTGGTCTAAGGCGCCAGACTCAAGATGAATCAATCTTCTCAAGGAATGAGGATTCTGGTCTCCAGATGGAGATGGGGTTCAAATCCCACTTCTGACAACAGTGTTTTCCTATTGATTAGAAGAGGGAAAAGAAATGGAAATAATACTGTTGTCCTTTGCAGGTTGCCTCAACAGATTCTTTATTTGTGGATTGCACCACACTGTAGCAAAAAATGTGTGTCCGAGTGGTCTAAGGTGCTAGCATCACAGTCAATCAACCTTCTCAGCTAATGAGAGTTCTGGGCTTCAGATGGAAGCGTAGGTTCAAATCCCACTTCTGACCATAGATATTTCAGATTTATTAGATTAGATAAAGCAACGAAGATGATCTACAGGTTTTTATTGCTGGTTTTGCGCTCTGAACTTTGCCTCAATGGGGGCATTAGTAATTTAGTGCACTGTACCATTGAAATGTATGTGTCAGAATGGCCGAGTGGTCTAAGGCGCCAGACTCAAGATGAATCAATCTTCTCAAGGAACGAGGATTCTGGTCTCCAGATGGAGGCGTGGGTTCAAATCCCACTTCTGACAATGGAGTTTTCCTATTGATTAGAAGGGGAAAAGAAATGGAATTAATTCAAAGGTTTCTGATGTTGCAGTTGTCTGTTGCTGTTTGCCTCAGTAGAGTCTTTTTTTGTAGATGGCACCACACCTTTGCAAAATATCTGTCAGAATGGCCGAGTGGTCTAAGGCGCCAGACTCAAGATGAATCAATCTTCTCAAGGAATGATGATTCTTGTCTCCAGATGGAGGCGTGGGTTCAAATCCCACTTCTGACAACAGTGTTTTCCTATTGATTAGAAGAGGGAAAAGAAATGGAAATAATACTGTTGTCCTTTGCAGGTTGCCTCAACAGATTCTTTATTTGTGGATTGCACCACACTGTAGCAAAAAATGTGTGTCCGAGTGATCTAAGGTGCTAGGCTCACAGTCAATCAACCTTCTCAGCTAATGAGAGTTCTGGGCTTCAGATGGACGCGTAGGTTCAAATCCCACTTCTGACCATAGATATTTCAGATTTATTAGATTAGATAAAGCAACGAAGATGATCTACAGGTTTTTATTGCTGGTTTTGCGCTCTCAACTTTGCCTCAATGGAGGCACTAGTAATGTAGTGCACTGTACCATTGAAATGGACGTGTCACAATGGCCGAGTGGTCTAAGGTGCCAGACTCAAGATGAATCAATCTTCTCAAGGCATGAGGATTCTGGTCGCCAGATGGAGGCGTGGGTTCAAATCCCACTTCAGACAATGGAGTTTTCCTATTGATTAGAAGGGGAAAAGAAATGGAAATAATTCAAAGGTTTCTGATGTTGCAGTTGTCTGTTGCTGTTTGCCTGAGTAGAGTCTTTATTTGTAGATTGCTCCACACCTTCGGAAAATATCTGTCAGAATGGCCGAGTGGTCTAAGGCGCCAGACTCAAGGTGAATCAACTTTCTCAGTTAATGAGAATTCTGGTCTCCTGATGGAGGCGTGGGTTCAAATCGCACTTCTGACAATAGAAATATTAGATTTATTACACTACGAAAAGAAACGTAGATGATTTACAGGTTACTCTCTGAACTTTGCCTCAATGGAGGCATTAGTAATGGAGTGCACTATACCACACAAAAGTCAGGTGTCAAAATGGCCGAGTGGTCTAAGGTGCCAGACTTATGTTTAATCAATCTTCTCAACGTATAAGGGTTCTCCTCTCCAGATGGAGGCGTGGGTTCAAATCCCACTTCTGACAACAATGTTTTCCTATTGATTAGAAGAGGGAAAAGAAATGGAAATAATACTGTTGTACTTTGCAGGTTGCCTCAACAGATTCTTTATTTGTGGATTGCACCACACTGTTGCAAAAAATGTGTGTCTGACTGGTCTAAGGTGCTAGGCTCACAGTCATTCAACCTTCCCAGCTAATGAGAAATCTGAGCTTCAGATGGAAGCGTAGGTTCAAATCCCACTTCTGACCATAGATATTTCAGATTAATTAGATTAGATAAAGCAATGAAGATGATCTACAGGTTTTTATTGCTGGTTTTGCGCTCTCAACTTTGCCTCAGTGAAGGGAGTAATGTAGTGCACTGTACCGTTGAAATGAATGTGTCAGAATGGCCGAGCGGTCTAAGGCGCCAGACTCAAGATGAATCAATCTTCTCAAGGAATGAGCATTCTGGTCTCCAGATGGAGGCGTGGGTTCAAATCCCACTTCTGATAGTTGAGTTTTCCTATTGATTAGAAGGGGAAAAGAAATGGAAATAATTCAAAGGTTTCTGATGTTGCAGTTATCTCTGGCTGTTTGCCTCAGTAGAGTCTTTATTTGTAGATTGCACCACACCATTGTAAAATCTGTCAGAATGGCCGAGTGGTCTAAGGCGCCAGACTCAAGATGAATCAATCTTCTCAAGGTATGAGGATTCTGGTCTCCAAATGGAGGCGTGGGTTCAAATCCCACTTCTGACAATGGAGTATTCCTATTGATTAGAAGGGGAAAAGAAATTGAGATAATTCAAAGTTTTCTGATGTTGCAGTTCTCTGTTGCTGTTTGCCTGAGTAGAGTCTTTATTTGTAGATTGCTCCACACCTGTGGAAAATATCTGTCAGAATGGCCGAGTGGTCTAAGGCGCCAGACTCAAGGTGAATCAACTTTCTCAGTTAATGAGAATTCTGGTCTCCTGATGGAGGCGTGGGTTCAAATCCCACTTCTGACAATAGAAATATTAGTTTTTTTTCACTACGAAAAGAAACGTAGATGATTTACAGGTTATTATTGCTGGTTTTACTCTCTGAACTTTGCCTCAATGAAGGCATTAGCAATGGAGTGCACTATACCACACAAAAGTCAGGTGTCAGAATGGCCGAGTGGTCTAAGGTGCCAAACTCAAGTTTAATCAATTTTCTCAAGATATGAGG